TCATAGAAACTAATATAAGATATAAGACTGTGTCTTCTAAATCAGTTGGCTACATTCTGCCTGTCTGGCACTATAGCAGTAGTAACAGTAGGGGAAGAGCCTCTTACTTTGCCTCCACCCTGGCTTTTAGCCAAACCTGTGTAGAAGCCCATGAAATGAGATGCAGCAGGAGGTCCTTGCATTAAAGTATGTTAAAAGTTATTAAAGAAATAATGGTTAACTAAGCTGCTTAGTATTGTAAATCAAAGAATGTGGTACAATTTCAAAAGCAAATACTGTAGTATGTAAAGGACAGTATTAAACAGTCACTAAAGGTACTAGTTGTCACATTTGGAAGGTTAGAAATGGGTCTAACCCATTTCTGTGGGCCATAGGGTAACTCGCATTCTAAGCAATGCATACATGATAGCTTAGGAATCGAGCAAATTATATTGTTTTACTTGATAAATTTGAGGTGAGGTGCAAGTGGCTGAATTTTTTCATAATTAACATGAAAAAAGAAGCAGTAACAATAATTGTCTGTAAAAGAAACGCCATCCTCAACTTCAATCTCTCCAACAAAGTATCAAAGATACTCTAAAGGTTATGCTGTTAAATTTTATATATTAAGTGGGTATGCAAATAAAAAGAACTGGAAACTGGCAATTCAAGAATCTTCAAGCTCATTTTCTCTATGTACACTAGAAGAAAGAAAAGAAAATGAAAAAGAAAATAAAGAAAGAAAAAGCAAATTAAGCACTTGGTGTCGATAATCGATGGAGAAAATCTCCAATTTTTCTGTTTGGACCAGTCAAAGATAAGTTTACAGTCACATTAATAACAAACAAAGCAGAGGAAAATTTATCTTGAATGCTAGCAAGAGACTGGTTCTGTAAAACAAACCTCTATTTATCCCATTTTTTACTGATAACTTCTCTAAGAAGGTGAATTCTCTATTTCAGTTTTGTCTTGTAGATCACAAGAAAATCTCATCTTCTTTGTTGATTTTGTACAATTTCATACCTGTATCACAAATTTAGTATTTCCAGAATGATGCAGAAATGGTTTCCACAACATAGTATTTAAACACATGCAATAGTGCCACTTCAAATCCTTTCACTGAAATTTACCTACAGGAAATACAACAATAAACTGCAAAATTATGTCATCCAGAGTAGTGTGGAAACTTTATCTGGTAACATACTAATCTGAAAGTAACAGTAACATACTAATCTGAAAGTAACAAAGTATTTTCTTTTGAGTCCTGCCAGTTTTCTTTTGCTTAGCAAATACTCGTTGATAGACAGAAACAAGCGCTTTTCACAATAAGTAAAAACAGATGCATTACTTAAGAAAGGAATGCAGGATTCAGAGTCAGAATCATCTCTCGTGTACTTCAAAATCCAGCATTATTCAATATATTTGTCCTTATTCCATTACATGCAGTTGGCTTTGCATGGCAGCATGTTGAAGTATCTTTTTGTATTTGACAAATGACATTCAATGCAGCAATAATTATAACCTTTCAGGGTATCAAGACCAAGAAAAATGAATCTCAGTTAAGCATATCCAAAGATATTGCATTTCTATCAGCAGTGCATCCCAAGTCTGCTGGGATGCTTCAGGATGAAGGTCTGGTCTTGGGTTTAAGTGTTGACTCCTGACACAGACTTTTATTTGCTAGTCTTTTGGCCTGCTGATAAACTACAAATAAATTACCTATGTTTCAAATGCTATCATCAGTTCAATCATACATAGTCTTTCCTGTTACAAACAGCTGAAAACAAAGAAAATATGACCTTTTCTTTTACACTGTTGCTGTGGACATTCACATCTCCTGAATCATAGGATCAAGTTAATATATTAAAAGGCAAATTCAAGTCAGCATTCAGTTATTTCAATGTCTTAATATTTGAAAAAACTGCAGTTCCTGTGATCCAAATGGCAAAGCTGCCATTTATTCAGATAGAAATAGTTAAATTGTTGAACCTAAGGGATTGCTTGGCTTTCAGGAATATTTGAAAACCTGGTGTTTTAATATAAAAGTTCCGAAGTATAATAGCCAACATATATGTGTACATTTAAAATTTCCAGTCTTGTATCTCAGCTGCATACCAACCTGCTATCATCTCAAGTTAATTGAAAATTTTATTATTGAGAGCTTTATTCTCCTTGCTCACACACACATTGGAAAAAATCTTACACTTCAGTATACAAATTGATCCCGAGATAGGAAAATTCAAAGATGAAAGTTCATTTCAGGTACATTGCAGCACAGCTGATCTCGAGTTTTGGCCTTTGCTTCAAAGTATCACTTACTGGCTTACTGCTAAACCGTGGATTATGTGGAATAGTGGTCTGTTCTAGCTTGTCATCTGAATGCTTAAACATAATCTGCTTTTCAAAAGACTTTCTCCAGTTTTATGTATGGCACATACAGTAGTGGCATAATGCATTATTAAAGTTCAGATTTAAAAAATGTGTTTTCATGAAGAAGCAATTAGCAGTAACTATAGAAAAAAGTCTTTTGCTTCCTATGCAGGAGCAGATCAGAAAAGACCTGCACATATCTAACTCATTTTCTTCCCATTGTGTTTGTCCATTAAGCAGATGAAGTGCACACTTCCCATGCTGTTCCATTCATACAGCCCAGTGTTCATTCAGAAACAGAACGTTTCCTTTAGTTGATGGATTAAAGGCAGGAGAGGGGGAGGTGTGTAAAAATGTTTGGGGATGTGCAATATTTCAGGAACAATGTTTAAAGGTTAATTCACACTAGAAGTTTGTGATGTATATTCTACACATCTTCAAAACAAAACAGGTTCTGCCTCTTAAATGAACAAGAATAACGTTTAAAGAGAAAGACCCAATGAAGGTTTTTGTGCAATTGCTGAGAAGCTAAATGTCAGGTTATTTTTTAAAGCAATCTTGTATTACACTTTCAATATACTAAAAAAATTAAGCAAATACAATGTTTTCACCCCATCTTGACTGACCTTGCACTATATTTTGGGAGGTTGAAATGTGAACCTAAGAATGTGTATTAGTGACCTTAAGAAAAGAGCAAGTAAACTCTGTAAGCAACTTTAAAGGTTATTGTTTGCTTTTTATCTTCACTTGCCGACCAGGTGTCTCTAGCAAAGTAAATCTGAGGAAAAGCCACTTTTTGTTGGAGGCTCTTTGTGAGCAAAACAGATGACATAGAGAGCAGGTGTTAAAATAGTGAAAAAGGCAAACAGCAGATATTTTACAGGATGTTTAGCTGTGGAAGAGCTAGTAAAAAACAACAACAACAAAAAAAGAAAACCAGGCAGTTCTAAAGCATCTTATTTAGAAGCTTTTGCTCAAATACAAGAAACATTTCTCTGTCTTGTAAATCAGGATCTATCTTTTGATTCCCCAAAGAATGGGTTAGAGATAGTTATCCTATTCCTCTTGGCACTGAGTTCCCAGGGACTGACAGGAAAAAGCATAGTTTTTACTAAATAAGGATGCTTACTGGTTTCTGTTTACCTGATGTCACTTGTGATACTGTGTTTGTCTACTTAAGTGGCATTTAGGACTGAAGTGTTGTGTGATTTACTATTTATGTTAGGAAATGGTTTAGCAGCTGAGTAGATTAGACTATTCTACTTGGTGTTTTTCATCCTACATTGCACATCTGTTAATTTTGGTCTTAGCATTACAATAGTGAGCATTGTAAAAAAATAAGTAGAAAGGTAAGGAAGTGAAGGAAAGTAAGTTGCCTGTTTGAAAAAAACTACTCAACTGACATTATTTGTCTCTCTAAATTAAGCATCCTAAACCTATAAAGAGAGATTTAGAATTCCAGACTGGAGCCTTCAAGTGTATGCATTTTAGATTTGAGCTTCAAGGCTCATTTTCAGGTTGATGAAAACCCTGTGCTGTTTGTTTTGGTATGTGAACTTTAACACTCACAAATTTGCCAGCAGGTTTCATTGTAACTTTGTATTTGATGAGAGCAGTGAGCCCTAATGCAAAGTTCTTTTATAAAACTATGTATGAAATAGCCATTCTTTGTAAAAAAACTGAATTCTCTCCATTTGCAACACAGATTTCTTTCACTACGCAGTGCCAAGTTCTTAAATATTTATTGCTTACAAGACAGGCATCTTGGTAAAAACATAAACACTCATAAAAGTACTATGCACTCAGACTATACTATCACATTTTTCCAGGTGGTAGTGAAGTAAGGGGGTTTTAAGTCAAAATATGCTGAAATGCATTACATTTTGAATTTAATGAATTTCTATTAAAAATGTGAAATACTGATAAGGTTTATTCTCCAGTAATAAGAATATATGCTGCAAATTTTTTTCCTGCTCTTTCAGCTACAAATGTTGCCACTTTGGCAATAAATATGTCATTTTCCCCTTAAAGGAAGGCATTAGAAGAAGCTCTGTGGTATCTGTAACACCTTTTCCAGACTATTTTTCCCTTGAATCTTGTACATTTCACTGAAAGTGTTACAGGATGCAAAGGATGTCTGCTAAAGAATTTTCTTAAAATTCTATCACTTCACAAGGCTAATTTCACTGCAAGTCTGACTTGCAGTCTTTGCTGGAACTACACTTCTTTATCAGTGGTGTTTAATAGGTTAATTTCTGCATTCAAGTTTCGAAATCACATTTCAGATATCATTTTTTAGGCATGCCTTGGATAAAGGTACATTCCATATTCTTTAAATAGATCTCAAATAGCCCTTGGCAGTTAATTATAAATTAGTAGCTGCTTCTCTCATGTCAGAAACTTCAGACATGCCCACAGTCCATCTGTGTATGCCATTTGTCCAAGCAACTCAAATGTAATGACAAACTTTAAAGCACAATCTCTGCAGCACTCTGCAGTTCACTGTTCCTTTCTAGTTAATATTATGTTCCCAGACTTCAAAGCAACTTTTTGATTGAAAGGTAAATCAGAAATTTAGCTTAGACAATGCACTCTGCGAATTTAGGCACCGTTCAAGAAAAGTTTCTGGGATATAAATTATAACACCCTACCTTCATTAGCCACTGAGTGTTGTTTTCCATGATGTTCTCAAGCAGCTGCAGTCTTTGAACGGAATCATCATAGTCCAGAGGCGCATCCCTCTGCACCGCGTTGGACACGTACGGAGCGGAGGAGCGGCAATTGTCCGCCTCGGGCAGAAGGAAGGTGTAGCTGCACGACCCGTGCTGAACCTGGTACTGCTTCTTTCCTATCGTCTCCATGCTCTTACTGAAGGAGTTGTATCCTGAAGCTAAGAATATGCCGCAGCCCAAGAAGAAGCAGGCGGCCAGCTGCATTTTAATCCCTGCGGTAACTCGGCGGACCTAGAGAGCCTGGATGCGCTGGCCAGAGCCCGGCCCTAGCTAACCTGAGGCTCAGCCGAGCGCTCCGCTGCCATGTGCCGCCAGCCGAGGGCTGGGCTGGGCTTGCCTGCCCCGGGCGGGCCGGGAGGTGCGGCCGCTCCCGCCGTGCCCGCACGGTCCGGCGCGGGAAGCAGCAGCTGCGGCCGCCCCGCCTGGCCCGCTGCCTTCCTGCCCTGCCCTGCACCGAGCCGAGCCCAGCCGAGCCCCCCGCCCTTATAGCAGGAGCTGTAAGAGCCGACACACGTGTGGAGCGGAGCCGCTCCGCCCTCCCGGGCTCGCCAGGCCGGGGGGCAGCGCACAGCGCCGGGCGGGAGCGGGGCGGCGAGAGGAAACCCCAGGGAGGAGCCGGCAGCGGCAGGACCCCTGCGAATTCCTGCAGCACGGCCCTCATTAAGAGTTTCCTAGACAGAGCCATCAGTTCCGATAGCCTCCAACTATGCTAGTAAATTATTTGCGATGGTAATAATTTTTAAACTCCTTACCCTCGACCACCCCCGCTAAACACACGCACACACTCACACACAAGAGTCCCTGGACTTGTTTGCTCTTAATTTATTTTCTTTAAAATGCGCTGAACCAAGATGTAATTTAGTTGTAGTTTAATACGTTTTAGAATTACAGAGAAAGACACTGCCCCACGTACCCAAAGCAGGCTTGGGTACGTCCTTGCAAAGAGAACACGAGGGGCAATAATTAGAGGTTTTCAGTTGAGCACAGAATTTGTATTTTACTGAATCTCTGAGATGAACACTCATTTTTAGGTATGTCTGTCAAGGGTTAAACGTTTACAAGCTTTTTATTTATTATTTTAATGGCTTTTTTTTTTTCTGTATGACATGGCTAACTTTGGAAGTGCTTATGTTAATATAAGAGTTAGAGATCATAAGTCAGCTGGGACTGGAAGAGGAAAAACCATCCAGAGGCAGTGGCAGTAAGGCATGGCTCAGGAAGTCGCATGGCTGAATAGGAATTACCCTGTTGGCTCTCCCTAGCCCAATTCTGTGCCCTTGGGAGTGGGAAATACCCATTAAAAGGGAGGGAAATTCTAATAAAATATTTGAAATTTATATGTAAGAGTAAAAAGGACTACTTCCCAACTCCCATGGTCTCTGCAATGATCGGTCATCTTGAAAAAGTGGAAAATTACTAGCCAACTTGCCAACTTACCAACTTACCCTGGGAAAGAGTCCGTTCCACTGAAATTCTGGAAAAGTTTACCTCTTTGTAAGGAGAAATTGTCTTGTTGAAACCAGCATGATAGGATCCTAACTCCTGAAGACAAACTGCTTGAGATTTTGGCTAGGTCTGGATCTGGAAATGACAGGTTTTTCTTAATTAAAATAAACACAAAGAATGTCGTGCTAGTCAAACCAACATGAATTACTGACCAAAGTTTCTCATATTCAAGGAAAATCCCAGCATGTCTGAAGCATCTCTTAAGACAGACTCTTACGTAACTTGCTTTGTCTCATATAGTGTATAATGTGGCTTTACTTTTTTATATCATGGGAGTTGTGTTCAGGGGTTGTCAAAAATAGTTGTAGAAGCTAAAATTCATGTCTTGGATTGCTGGAAGCTGCTGAGATTTCTTTACATAGTTACCTTTGAAAGGAAAATTTCTAGAATTCTAGCGGAATCCAGAAAGATTCTGATTATATTCGGACTGTAATGAGTGAAACCAATTTGTAGGATTCTTTCCTTTGGATTTATATGCCACTGTTCATCCTTCTAATCAGAGGAAACACAGGAATATCTTTGGAATGGCCAAGATTATTTGCAACAAAATGTACGTATTGGGAGGGTTTGCTATATGAAGTATGCATTCTCCATCCCTTCAATTTTGCATTGCAATAACCAGGCAGATAAATGTGACAGCTACTTGCATTGATAACAAAGTTTCAAAGTTGTTGTATACTGGTTTCTAATTTTCAGTGAATTGAAGTCTTTAAAAGAATGTTTAATTCCATGTGAATAACAGTGTTTGCAAGAGACTTGACGAACTTACTGTTATCCAATGAAGACAGAATATAGCGTTAGATTAATCCACTAAACTGTGGGAAGAATTTCTATTTAACCAGACATTCCAATTCAGTATTTTCTGTTATTTGGGTACTTTAATTAATTTGCTAAGTTAAATGAGAATTTCCCATTGCAACTTGTCCTTAAATTGGTCTGTTCTCTGTTTTCCTTGCACAGCTAGCCTGAAAAAATAAAGGGCCATATCCTCCTAATCATCCTTCCTTTCACCACGACATGTGTATGCTCAGTAGAGTAGTGATGAAAATTAGATTTCTCCAGCCCTGGAAATATCTGTTTCTTAATGAGGAAGAACTGGAAGATAATTTTTATTTTTCTGAGTATATTTTCATGATTTTGGTTTTAAATTCTTTAGTTAGATATTAAGTGAAAATATGAGACTAAACAGTGTAGTCTTTTAGAAGTTTTATTTTTAATTATTAGAGCTCTACTCAAGGGACTGAACACATATAAAAGACAAGATTTAAGGGAGAATCTGCTGAGAATTCATTAGAAAGGATCTCCATGAGAGGCTTGGTTAAATCAGTAGTTTTTGAATGGCTATAAAGCTAGTCATCTGTATGCTGCCCTAGTGAGTCACATCACCGTTGTAATCTGGCAGCTCAGTTTTGCTGAGTTTTGGAGGAGAGATGGGTGTCTCTAAAGGTTTGAACTGGAGTCTGTTTTCCTTTATGAAAAGCTGAGGCATGACCCTGGGAGGCCCTTGTGCTGTAATGAGGCCAGGAGCAAAACTGAATTTGGAGACTGCTTAGGAAGCTTGCTGTATCCTGGGCCTCCACTAGGGAGAACTGTGGTTGTAGGAATACTGGAAAGAGAAACAAGTTCACCTTTTACTGTGTTTTAAGCTGGGCTTGGTTTTTGTGTCTTGGTTTTTGTCTTGTCGTTGTGAATGGATGAATGAGTAAATGGCCAGTTGCTATGGCAGCTGTCTGCAGTTCGAGGAAAAGGTACAGAAAGCACAGATATTATTCTGAGCAGTGACAACAAATTCCTAATGGAAGACTCTTACCAGCACAGCGGGCACCACCAGTTAGCTTCTACTCACTAAGATCTAAGTCTTGGAGTAACACCCTGAGGTGCACCATGGTAATGATTTCCCCAACTTTTCATTGATAATCCCAGACTGAAGGGGCAGTAACTAAAATACAAGCCCACACACACATATAACCAAGAGAGGGTTTTGCTGTTTCCCCATCTGGGTCCAATGGACTCATATTGCTTTAATGAGGTGCTCTTTCCCACTGTCCAGGAAAGTCAGTGATTGTTCACCTTGCCAAAGAAATAAATACACATCCCTTTAACCCTTTGCTGCAGCTCAGAGCCGTATTTGGTGCATCTTTTGGAGCAGTTGATTGTGATCCTTCACCCTTTCTATCCCTTTGGGAGCAGCTTTCCCAGCTGTGAAGGAGGAAGTGGTCTTCTCTGCCTCTCCAGAGAGTCAAAGCCAGTCAGAGTTCAGGAGGAAAGAAAGTAGTAACAGCTAAATTTAGAAAACTGGTGTGAAAAGTAAGGCAAGTTAAATCCATTTTTGTCCTTGAAATCTGAGGAAGAGAAAGGAAGATGCCTGAATACAGCCTTTTTACTGAACCTTAGAGGCATTTTGACAAATCTGCTTGAAAGGGAGGGCTTATTCTGAAAACTGAATGACTGAGATCTGTCCCCTGTCAGTTATGAGAACGACCATTTCTTTGTTAGACATGTTGAAGTAGGGAGGAATTTAAATAATTTGGCATGGAGTCTTATAAATGTCAGAAACTGAGTAAAAAGTTATAATTCAGACTGGTCACATCCTCTCAGTATTTCTTTCATGTTCGTTGCTCTCTTCATCTGTCATTTCTGCTGTTGATATGGAGTGTTATATTTACATTCATGATACATTTTTCCTGTAAACTAAAATACAGCTTTTAGCCTGTGAGTTCTTGCTTTCTTTAGAGCTAAGTATATACCATAAAATACCAAATAGTGAATATATTTAAAGTACAAATTAGATATTTTGCTTTTTAGAAAGAAGATACCCACTCTACAGAACTCACCTTATAAGCAGAGCTGAAATGTGTATTTTGTCAAAACTAAACATTTAGAACATTTTGCCAGATGTGTGCAGGCAATTTCCTTTCCTGGGAAAAAGTAAATTCCCTTACTCAGCCAATCATGAGTTTCTTCCATACAGCATATGACCAGGCTGCTTTGAGAGAGATGCCTGAATTCTACTAATATTATCTTTCCAATTATCATTTTACTTACAGCTGCATAGCTTCTGTTTGACAGGCAGATACAGAGATCTTGTGAGACCTCTGATATAAAAGGAAGCATATAAACTTAAGCAATATAAGAAAATGTTGATTTGGCTTCAGTCTGCTATCTTCAAACTTTGCCACCTAAAACTTTCAAGATATTGATTAGTAGATAAGTTCTCATTTCAGCAGTTTACTCATTTTAGGAAGGGAAAACTACATCATAAAATATGTGCAAACTAAAGGCAAAACCATGTAAACAAGTAGGTTTTGGTGCTGCATTCTTACAGGGATATTTAATCTACATATATAAATGAAAATGCTGTAATGTAACTTCAAAATCAAATCTAAGGTGAAAGATCATCTGAAACATGGAATAACTTAATAAAGTATTTTATATATTCCTGGTATTTACATTCCTCAAATTTTGACACTCAGTGTTAAGTTCCCACCTTTAGTTCCTGGTACTTTAATATTAGTTTATGATTGTTCCATTTGCTGTCTTCAAAATATTTTCCCTCACTGTAAGTAGTTTCGCATTTTTCTCAGGAACAAATGTCAACAAGGACAAGACTCATGAACTTGTAACTTAAAAACTTAAAAAACAGGGAACAGGATCTACAACCCTATTTGATTTTTAGGCTGCTGAAAATCTTGTCTGTTTTTAGATCTTACAGTCTTTTTCAAAGGGAGGTTATTATGTTTTCCTATAAGCCAAACAATTTCTTTTCAACCAGACCCATAGTTCAGATTTTTAGC